GAAGTAATTACTTCTGGGCCTACATATCCAACTAAGCAGCAAGAATAGCGCCAAATATAGATTTTTTGTCTATTTTATTATTATTTGATTATTTAAATTGTAAATTAATGTTTTAATTTTTATAATATACCAACACATTATTTATTTATTATATTAGCAATCAATTAAGTTCACATAGTTACATGTATGACATATCCATTTATATATCCCAATTGTTGCTGTGCATTTGTGAGATATTGACGGAGATGTTTCTTCAATATATAAATAGAGGCACTTTCTCTTAAAGGAGGTGGGATTTTGTTCCATATCATTGCTGGTGCATATCGGAAACTACCCCTGCAAGATGCTGACCCATGAGTCTGTGTAGCAAGCTGCTGAGAGCACTGCCTTCTGCAACTTAGCCAAACAAGTCGATTATATAGATATGCAGGCTCCCTGGACCTAATTAATTCGTATAGTACGCATGCCAGATGAATATGGTTTAAACTATATTTTTAAATCTAAAATAAATAAAATGTAAAATGAACACGCTGATGTGTAATAAAAGCTATTAGCTACCTTAAGATAATAAATACAATTATAATGCATAGGTAATGTTTATTTTACTTTAAATTTACTTAAGACTGAACTACTTAAAATATATGTCTTAATTCTTAATTTTTAGTGTTTATATTTTGTTTTGCGATCTCATCAATTCATAGTTACTTACATCCCTGCAAAGTCGAGCAAGTCATTGGTAATTATTAACCAGTGTTTGATTAAAATTTTGCAGATTAGTTGCAGGTAGCCAGGGCTAAAGCTTTAATAAAACATGTAATACTACTGTAAGGGCTAAGGACATAGCTCTTCAAGTGCCATTACATCAAAGTTCTAAAATATTTTCTTAATCAAGACTTTTTCACACCCATATTTCTCGTCATTCAAGTCCCGGTTGAATTATATTGATTAACATAGTAAATATGCGACCTCTTCGAACCAATATTATTTTTATATCATTCATACCTGCCTCAAACTGCGAACAATTGTATTATTACTTATTACTTATGGAATTTGTTTAACTCGCAACAATAAAGTTAATACTTATAAAAAAATAATTCTTTTGACAGTAAAAGAGCGAAATCTGTGTGAAATAATGTAGCTAGCTTTACCAAGCTAGTCTTCCTTTTGATGGTCATTCGCAAAAACACTTTCTTATTTAAAAGTAAAAAAAAAACTATTTCATTTACTCTTTTCTGCCCCTTTCCACTAGCTCAATTTCCTTCCGCAGAAAAGAAGACCAAGAGTCAAAGGTGAGCGAAGTTTTCTTAGTGAATAAATTAAAAATACTTTTTTTGTCATTTTCCTTCATTAAAAGATAATAAATTAGGATGGCGGATAATAAACTCGATCGTTTTTTTCATAGTTAATTATCGGATTATCGGTAAACATAGTAATTAAATCTTCTCTACCTTCTAAGATTAGTAGGAATCATCGGAATCATTCAGAAATTAATCTTGCCACCAGCTAAGTAATAATCTCTATGATAACAACATGAACCCAGCTTCTGCGTATATCAAAACCCGTTTTCTGCTTCCTAGAAACGGAAACCCATAACAACTTTGGACACCAACATAACATGACTGAGTAATGAGAGTTCATTCAGTATTGCACACAATCATATTCCACACGAAATGTTTCATAATTTAATAAATAAAAACTTTCACAGTGGTTGTGATTGATGTACCTCCGATACAATTTTCACGACTTTCGATACTTTAATTACAGGGATATCCTTGATGAAAGAGGACCCTGTGTATAGCCTAGAATTCACTTCTGTTAAATCATGAAGTATTTAATTAAAATCTAATCAAACCTTTCAAAGCAAATGATTATATTAACAAACAATAGTTCACAACAATAGTTATTTTTAGACATTAAGTAGTTTTATACTTTTCTAATTTAAATATTTCTATGTAAATAATAATGATAAATATAGAACAATTATAGTTCACCTTTCGATATTTACAAATATGAAAGTAATTTTTGATATTTTGTAGATGTATTTCTGATACACAATAGCGTGATAAACTAAGGTAACGCAAGACCCGTGGTTAAAAAAATACCCCTACAAATATTACCAGCCACCGCACCGGGCCGTAAATTATATACAATTGTCCCATCTTTGTATTCAAACTAACGCTAACAATTTAAAAATATAAAAACCATAAACATTATGTATCACTTGCTTTTTCATTCCGTACATTTTTGATAAACAAGCTTTAGACAAGTGATAACGTTTATTATTGCTTATTTTTTAACTTTTATGTTATCGTTAGTGTTCGCTAGAAAAGAAAGATGGCCACTTGACTAAGCCTCCAGGAATGCTTCATTCATAACTTGAGTTAGCCGAATTTCTCTCCAAATAATTATTAGTGTATGGTCAAACATTAAACAGGAAAGGGAACACGATGAAGGAATGTGGCGAGTATACGCCGCAGTGTTTGCCTTATGGTTAGCACTTTCTAAATCCTGAGCGGTTGGGTTCCGTGCTGCTTCATCCGTGTATTGAGAATTCGACACAATACCGAAACTTAATAAATCAATTAAACTTTTCCAAGAGGTAAAAATATTCATTCCCCTAAATAAAATATTTATAACGGGATATTTCTAGGCTTTTCTTTATCGCTACCGTTTCTTTAAATTTAATTATATATAATTCATATATTGATGAACAACGATGATCATGAAATTTATTTGAGATTTATTTGAGAAAATATTTGTATTTTTACATTTGACATCTCCATAAACAGATTGTACCTAAGTAGCTAATCTATTACAATGTCCGCTAAAAATAAATAATTATGTATTTTTTTAATACAAAAATTCAAGATCTATTAATGGGTTAGCCCAGTAGGTTGGCATTGCTAGACATACCGATACATCAATATTGTCAGGACAACAATATATCTAATAATGAAATTATATCTTGTGCTATCTGCTAACCCCGCGTGAAATTCATGAGGGTCTGTCTATAAGTACTTATTGCTCCAATCAACCTAAGATTTCACAAAGGCACAGTTGCGGGCACTTGCTAGTATATATTTAAAATATTCATTAAAATTATGTTGCGACTGTGTAACATGAGTTTCTCTGAATGCGTGTTGAAAGTCGACGGCATGTTCGCAAGTTGGTATGTAACACTCATAACAAACGGCGGTCCTCCTTAGCCTGTCAACTGAGTTCTTTGCGTACGTCGTCGCCTACGTCCTACTCTGCTTACAACCTTATTGCAACGTCCTCGTCTGTCAACGTGACAAGGTTTGACATTTACAGAAGTGGTACAGTCAGCCACATAATTTACATGAAGCTCTGAAATTAAATTCCTGCTATAATTACGTGCATACCTTTCTTTTCGTCATATGCTGGCAACGTGTTCACCGAAGCGCGGAAGAAATCGCAGTAATAAACTTTTGGTCAGCTATTTGTTGAACGGTCTTTGAAAATGTTTTTGCAACTCCGCAACCGCAAAACTAACACGATTTTACACCACTGGGTGTTGTGGTAAGCACAGTCGTTACGTCCATGGGGAACTCAGTAGTTCCTCATAACTAATGTATTCATTTAAATAAGAAGGTATGAGTTACTTTGATCACAAACTTATGTTTTACGTCGTAATAAACTTAATCGTAATATTACATAGAACTAGCGACTCGCCCAAACTTTGTACGGGTGAAATTTATTGAACGCTCTGATATACGAGTATAAATTATACCCTTTGTCACTAAAGGATAATAAAGAATTCTACTAGTATAAAGAGTTTTCAAAGTCGGTTCAGTTTCGAGATAAGCTAACGAGCGAGCCAACAATATCACAAACTTTACCTTTTTATCACGGGTAAGCAAAGGGGCTGTCATATTACTTTGTAATGTTTTGTATTTATTGAAAGACGCCGCCGTGGATGTATTAGTATGTTCGGCTAGTCGACAGCAATTTTGACAGGAATACTCAGCAAATGGTGTGAAAATAAAGTGGATAGAACCGTGAGGAACGTTTGACCCGCCGCCGTTCGCCGAATACTTGTTCACGACCCATAATCGTAATGGAAGGTAATATCGGCAATTTGCAGTCCCAAAGAGGCTCTTATATCAGACGTATCACGCAGCGTACCATCAGGAGGGAAACACTTTCGTCTTAATGAGCGGACCCTTTGAAAACACCTACCAACACGTATAATCTTTGTGAATTCATTTACGCTACGAATTTTCACCAATTATCGGCTCGAATCACGCGCCGCATATAAGGACTTTTAATATTTCTTAGCTTATGGGGGTGTATAAAGTTCCGTTAATGTTTAAACGATACGGTTTCACGATAAACTTTATGATGATAGCGCCCAGATATAAAATTTCATTAGCGTAAATTATGGTGGTCACCAAATGGGCACTACTTGTGTGGATAAATTAAATGTCATATGTAAGTATGATGTCAAATAAATGATGCAATAAATGTTTGAAACGGAAGTCGGAATGAAATAGTGATCGAGATTATAAATCTGGGTCGACTGGTCTATTTGATTGGTGAATATTTTTTTCTTCGAGTGACATTTTCAATGAACACATTGCGACAGTAATTTTAAACAACGTGTTAATAAATGAGGTGTTACAAAAGTTGTTCACTTTACCTAAGTTATTAAAGAATGGGTCAGTTAGGTACGAGTATTTACTTATTTAAGTAACGTTGTTGATCCATCACATCACAGCTAACTCTCATGAGTTGCAGTTTTGAATCATTGTCTCATTTCAAAAATTATATTTAGAATTTAACTGTAAAATTATCCTATTCGTTTTAGAGATGAAGTATTTTGCTACCGAAATACCGTAGAACATTTTATTGACAAAAACAAAACCACCAAAAGGTGTTCTATTACTGTTGTTTTCTGTAATCTGTAAAGTGGAGGTAGCTTGCCTAGACGGACCGTCGTAATCCTAATCGTGTATTGCTTATTAACTTCAATAACTTACAGAGTTCTGCAGATGTGCTAGCAACTGTTCAGCATTTGCTGGGTCGGACAACTCCACCGCTCCCGAAACCTGAAACAAGAACATCATCTTATATTTATGCATCATCATAAGCTTATTAATTTCCTTACTGCTAAGGCACACACATACCTGGCCTTCCTTATGTTTGGAATAGGGTAATTGGGACATCGTCATGACCCGCAAGCACCCAATGCGGATTGATGGGTGGTAAAGACTGTACATGCACCTTAACCTGCCTTCCAAAGCACGGAGGAGCTCTAGTAATAAATTTTGGTCTTCATCCTATGCCCGGCTATTACGAAATTTCCATACTTTCACGATCGCAGACAGACCGCGCTTACTATAAAGAGATTCTTGAATAATTTTATACATTAGCGACAAAATGGATTCATCCTAGCTTTCCGAAAACAAATAAAAAGCTCAAAAGATAAAGATACCTATTGGAAAGTTATTGTGACTCGGGTTTATTTAATCTTCTAAAACAATATCAATTCTAGATTGCCAATTTGTAAGTATCACCTTAAATCGTTTCTGTTCTAGAACTCAGGTTCTATCCAATAATGATAAATGTTTAATGCCTGTGAGTGGGAGGTCGGAGTATTTGTACCCTAGGTACCTAACTGGAGCATTTCTGAACATAATACCTTGTTGCGCTGAAACATAAAATGTAAAGTACTTAACTTGAATTTCCTTCATCGGGGTGAGATCAATACACAAACAGAACGTAATGCTGGTCTACAGTAAAATTACTCGATTTCGTTTGCGTATAAACGTAAAATTTACAACCAGTTTAAAATATAACGTATGTACTTTACTTGTTTATAAAAAGGGTTTCATGAATCTTGAATATTATGGTTCCAACTTGGTTTTTTTTCTATGATAAACTGATTTACATGATATTAACTGCTAGGTTTATGTATTTGTAGTATTTGTTAAATATAAACACACCATTCGTACTAATGCAATGCAATGACTGATTTATGCGGCACATTGATATGCTTTTATAGTAAAATTGTCTGGGGATCAAGTAATAATCAATTTTGCGTTATTGACACCATTATGAAATTCGGTGGATTATCCACAATTTGCAAACCAGTTTTTTTTATTTTTATAAAAGACGTAATAAAGCAGGGTATAACTTGTTAGTACATAGGAATTTAAGTAAACAACAAATCTAAAATGCATAAACATTGTGTAATTTCGTACGGAATTTTATTGTGGGGAAACGCCCCGCCGACATTCAAACTATTTTTGTGCTGCAAAAGAGAGCTATTCGATCAATTTATAATCTTGAAGTTAAAGAATACTTAAGAGATAAGTTTGAAGAATTTGGCATAATGACGCATCACAAAACATATACGATATATACGACAATAAAATGTACTACTTGTAAGAAAAAATATGAATTTGTTTCATAAAAACAGTGATGTTCACACACTTAATACAAGAAACAAAAATAAACTATCTTTACGTGCTACACAAAATCAATAATTCATTTAAAGGTCTTTGTGTTCGCTGATACAATAAATTCCCCAGCAATATCAAAGAGTTAACCATAAATTAATTCAAAGAGAGTATAAAAAATAACTTATTACCAAGTGTCTGATTAAATTACAGACAAAAATGCTTGGGTTTGAACTGTTCCAATCATTCCAACAGATTTTCTATATTAAATAAATGATGATTGTATTGACGTTGTAACAACATAATGAGTTGTAAATGTTGTTACATTATACGTTAAATGTTGTGGAGTTTTTTTCCCTCATTTTTCTCCGCAACTAAAAAATATGTCCAATAACGAGATGTACAATTTTTATTTAATTTGTATTTTGTTTATGGCTATCTCAAAAATATTGTGCCGCACATCAGAAACTGTGTCAACTGATTATTACCCTAGTTCTAAAAGTAATTTAATTTCAATGTTGTTCTTAGTGTACGACGTACTGGTATATAACTGTTTAGGGCATTAAATAACCTATAGAAAATCAAATGGATGTCAAAGTTTAAAACCATAACCATCGCTATTGGAAATAGGTGACCGTATTACAACGATGCGACTGCTGCCAATTTAAAAGAAAATGAAGTTTTCTTCGCGGTAAAGTTTACATAAAAAAGTCAATATAAACAATAAGTTACATAAGTTTTACATTATTTTTCTGTGGGTCGGTCCGAATCGAACAGCCAAAGGGCACCAATTTGCTGTTATTGTCGGCAGATAATTCCGCGCTTTTTAGGGATATATGACGCCATTAAAATTTAACAGCAAATATGTTATATGTGCGACTATATTTATTTCTCGAAGTAAAATGCAGGAGCATACTTCTGAAATTTCATGATGTTTATGTTTATATTGACAATGTTTTAGAACCTTGTTTTGTTTAAGAGTTAAATAAATAATAATGGAGAATTTTATATGTTTCTAATGTCCACGTGTAAACAGTTTCGATTATGAAAAGAGATTGAGTATTGGTTAAAAAAACGAAATTATTTTAGTGAAATGTAAAATTGTGAAAGCACAGTAAATTTCGTTCAAAGAGTTAAAGCCACTTAGAAATTTTAAGTCATTCGAACTAATAAAAGTATGAAATATTGAAAGTAGGTCATCCTAGGAACTGGGCTATCTTGGGTGCGAAATGCGAAATAAATCAATTTATGCAATAAACATTTCTGAAGTGAAAACCTCTTTAGCGGCGTTATACACTTGTTTTGTAAATAAAAATGATTTTTTTTTACAATAGATGTCAGTAGGTGCCCTTAAATGTGATTCATGTAAGTTGATTTTTCTGAGAGATAAACTTTTTAATGTAATATAAATTGTCTCTTGTATTCTACCACATAAATGATAGTACTTTTATACTGATAATTAAAGCAATTCGTGCATAATTATTGCCTAACCATTCTAAAATATCAAAAATTCACAACGTTAATATTCAAGTTTTCCCGTCGTTTTTTTTTTTATAGATAGGTCCGACAAATGACTCCCCCTCACCTGATATTAAGTGACGGTGAAGTCCAGACTTAAAGATAGCTATTTTTTTAGTTATTTAAAGATATTTTGTTGTAATCTATACTTGTTTGCAATAAAACATTTTGTGGATATCATATTTATTTACACAAACACAATAATACCTTTACAGCCATAATTTCGCCCTTCTCTATCAAAAATACGCAAGCACCTGAGCTATTTGATACTTATTGGTTTATAGTACGAGTTGTACCCGACAATTTTTGATTTATCTGTAACAGTAGGAACCTTTAGTGCCAGTTCAATTTCTCCAGGCGAATTGGGAATAAATTATAGTTGTCTCGGGCAGCAGAGACTGGTATGTGAAGTACAGCATTACCTTAGTGTTTGTGAAACTCGGTCGCTTTGTGGAATAACTACGGTAAAACACCAGCTTTGACTGGTTTTATTATGTACATATGAATCTAGCTTGGTATTCGCTGGGTAATAGCAGTATATTCTTGTAGCTTAGGAACGTAAGTGTATAATTTCTGACATTTAAGCCAATGTTTACGATAATCCGCTGTTTCTATTCACACGGTTTCTGATATTCGTGTTTTACCGATTGAAGTTTACATAAGGTACATAATGAGATACTTCAGCGAATAAAAAATGTTGTTTTCCTTAAATTTCACCAGTTGTAATTTTTTTTCTTATTATTAAGAATATAAAAGTTCTAAGTGGCGCGCTTTCACGATCACATCTTGAACAGGTAAGTAAATGCAAGAAACCAGTACTTAGCTTACACGAGAACAAGATAAATAATTCATAATAATTCCTGTAATTGTTTTCCGTGAAAATACCGCGTTGTTCAAGACTCTCTCTGCTAATGATTTAATGAGGGGCGCGCGCAGAAATTACAGTCGCACGTTATACATCATAAGGTGGACGCGCACTGCAACGACTAAATTATAAGGTAACTATTTGACAACACAATCATAAATGTCTTACAGATGAATGCAATTATAAATCTCATCTCTGGTGGTGGTAAGTATGCCCTTTTAGTAGATGCAAATTACGATTACCACGGCGATTAGTGACGTTAAGACGACGACGGCGACGTTAGAAATAATTTCTAATTTCTAGAATTTTTTATTAATTTCTATAAATCAACCCTCGGACAGGACCGTTAATTACAGATAGTTTTGTATTCATTTTAATTCATATCATTGTTCTTTTTCAGTATTCACTAGGTATTTATTTTGAAGGCATTTGATGTTTTGAGATCAAGCGTTTCATACAACGAAAAAAATGTATAATTCATGAAGCTCGGGAAGAAAAACGATAAATATTGCTTTAACATTCTCTTGTTATTTTATTATGTATTCATGAATTTAATATCATAAATATTCATGAATTTAAACGTTTTTCAAAACGAGTATGTCAATATTATGAATACTGAACGATAATTCTATTAAATGACTTATGAACGTTTCTTAAAAAGGAAAAATATTATTTACTCAACCTGACCATTTCTTTTTAAACTACACAGATTAATAAATAAATATTTCAAACACTCACACCAATTAGCCTAGCCCCAAAGTAAGCACTGTAAAGCTTGTGTAAGGGGATACTAGGGTAACGGATAGAATACATATAAAGTACATATAGAAGTATATTTATATAGAAAAACATATTAAACATCCATGACTGGAGTACAAATGCTCGTATTCATCACACAAACATCTGCCCCCACCCGGTTTCGAACCCGGGACCTCTCGAGTATTGTTGATACAGCAATGAAAAAGCTAGTTCCATGCGTTCAAAATACTTTTGTTAGCGAAGTTTGGAAGGTTACATATGCCATGCCATTTACAAAACGAAGAAAGCGTACATATATATTTCTAGGATGTTTTTCCATACTGTATAGCAATCACTGAAGAAATTTAGTACTGTTGTGAAGTTTCACATCCACAATTTGTGAAACATTAAATTGCAAATAATAGATAAAATGATAAGTAACATTAAATCAGGAATTTATTTTAAGGGTTCCGAAGTGCTGACAAGAACCCTTATAGTTTCGTCATGTCCGTCTGTCTGTCCCTGG